TTATCCCGCAACTTCATACCACCCGCCTGCTTCATCGCCTCTATAGCGTTGGCATCAGTGATGATATCTTGCGGGTATCTACATCAACATCAAACACGCACCGCGAAGATTTTTTCAACAGCCCTCCACCTTACAATGTCTGTAGTAATTTCCTTATCTCCGTCACGCTTGCCACCGCTTTTCCAATCCTCTCCTTCACCCTGTTAACAGCATTACTCGTCAGTTTAAGAGTATCGGCTGATGACGATGACGGCGAAGAGGGCGACGATCCACCTACCGTCAAATTACATCAGTTGGTTAACTGCTTTGGCTATCAATCTGAAGGTCGTGGGTTCAAACCACAGCCACTCCTACCAGACTGCTGCATCTCCTTCTCCTTCTTCCACTTAGTCCTCAACTCCTACCAACCAACACTAATTTCCCACAGTGAGGCAGGAAGACACGCACATGCTCAACTGCATGTGTTGGTGACAATACGAAAATTCTGAGGAAATTTTGCAAATTCTTATTGCTTTCAGAACATTCCTATCCCAATTCGTATATGAACTCATATTAGTAGTGAGGAAGACGAACGAGTATTCCAACGCTAACCGACCATAAGCCTTCATCCCAATACTACCATCAACCTAGCCTCGGCCTGATCATGCTGGCGTTGTGCCACCTCCGGAAAGTCCTTATTAAACTCCTCGTCATATGGTATCCTCAATTGCAACGACCTCGTCGAGGAGTTGAACACACATATTGGTTTCAATACCTGTATCAATAAATGACTTTTCTCACCAACCTACGCCGCCGATCCATCATAATCCAATATACACCTCTGCACGAACTCGACCTCAATAGACGTAACACATATGATACCCAACAAGGTCATCATCATGACGATGATCATTCATCAGCCTCTATTACTGGTGGCCGTCACCAAGACATAAAAAATTACAAGTGTAAACAAAGCAAGTTCAAGTAAACACTCAGCGAAGGAACTTATACTATACCATTCCTTCCACAAACGACAAACGGTGGTTGAACCATAAAATGGAAAGCTCACTATCAAATAGTACGCCCCGTAAATGATCGAGAAATAAGTGTCCAAGTGCTCCGTAGAAGTGGAGTTCTCCCCCTCCCACCACCGCACTACCTCTGCTATCTCCATATCAGTGAAGCCTGTTGCTGCTTTCAAATGTTCCACACCAAACGGTCGCTTAGTACCCAACAATAGCAATACTAGATCTCTCAGGTCGTGATACTTCGGTGCATGATTAGTGAGCCGTGAGCTCAGCACCCATACTCCTCGAACCTACAACAACACACCATCAATTTAATTTTAATATCTCTACATACGATTATTTCGACAACAACAACAACAACAATAACAACAACAATAATAATGATAACATCAACAATAATAGCAACAACAACAACAACAACAACAACAACAACAACAACAACAACAACAACAATAACAACAACAACAATAATAATAACATCAACAATAATAGCAACAACAACAACAATAGCACCACTAACAACAACAACAACAACAACAACCACGGCCACGACCAGAACGAGAGCCCTTGCCTTGACCTACCAGCACTGAACAGTTCTCCAAATGCGATATGATTGCATTATCGGTCATATTATGACGGGTATTCACCGGCAATAGGTTCGTCTAAAACACCATGTAACAACAACACCATCATCACCAATCCATCGTCATTACAATCTGCTTCGAATAGTTCGCCACAGAGAGCTTCTTCATAATAGTCTCCAATTGCTGGTTAGCATCCAGCCTCCCAAGATCTCCCCACTCGTCCTTAACACCAACAACATTACCACACAGCGAGGTCAGGTACCTACACCAACCACATCCTCCTCCACCTCTTCCTCAATCACGGATCCATTCAACTTAGAGAGAAATAGCGTTGATCACAATGAGAAAAAAAGGTTCCTAATGTGATGAAATTTACCCGAAATCTGTTCCTAACAACGAGTTCTCAGGAAAAATTCGTTTTGAATTTTCCTCCAAAATTCGGGAGAAAAGAAACCGCCATGCTCATTCATATTTCCTCCACGGGGGAAAATTTTCCCAAAAAACATTGACAGTTGATCCTCGATGTTTCCCTGCCGACCATCCCTATTACGAGTCCTGATCTTTAACATGGAACCGCAACTCCATAGTCCTCCTCTCCCTCTTAGCCCTCGCATCCAGGTCCTCCCACTGCTTGGCATTCTCACTCACCACAGGCGTCAGGAATTGCCTCTCGTAAATATCCGCAGCCTGAAAATAACATAAACGTTCGTGAGCTGGGGAAAAAACTCCGAAAACGTGTCAAAAATACACACTTCACTTCACACCATCATTCACACATAGATTAACGCTGAAGTTCCACCCAGCTCACGTGAAGTGGCGTAATACTTTGATACGAAAAACGCCCTATATTCGCACCATGCAGTTTTTTGTGATATATGCTTTTCATCTCACATGTAATATACACTCCCTAGGAATTGACCACGTGAACAACCGATGAACAGCAATACCTCCGGAGAATCAGCATCGTAAAAATCGAGCTCTTTCCACGGCCCCTCCTCCTCCCCCTCTTCCTTCACTTTTCCCTCCTCTCCCTCTCCCTCTCCCTCTTCATTTTTCATCAGCAAACTCTGGTCCTGAAAATAAAAATATAACTTCCTAAATTTCCTACTCGTACCATCATTGAATTTTGACCTATAAATTCTCTATGGAAAATCATGCGTAAAACGAGAGCAACCAGTCTACACCTTCCTCCGAAGAAACCCTGTTTCCCAGTCCCGAAACCAACCTGTCTTAAAGCTCCCAATAGGGATTGCTGATAACGCTGCTTAGCTCCCATTGAGGTAGCTCCTCTAGCTAAACTCGTGCTAGCTGATATCACTTGAGACTTCTTAGTACTCGCTTTCACAGGTTCCATCATCGACCCTGATAACAATAACAAGGAGAAGTTCATCATCATCACCCCTCCCTATTTACTGCAAGTTCACATACCACGCGCCACGCAATTCCCAAAGATCACATCACGCCCTTACTCTCGTCATCATTCTCAGCAGCAGCAGACTGTTTCCCACGTATCTTAGCAGCCATCGCCTGCCTCTCCTGCCGATCCTTATCAACATGCGTGAAGTCCGGTCGCAATTGACAGAACGAGGCTAGTGGCGTCAACGTGAGCTGTCCAGAGTTCACAGCTCCCACACAGTACGTACCTTTACCACCATGAACTACCATACGAGGTCCCATCTAGCTTTGAGAGGAAAAATTTCCTAATGCAATCACATTTCCATGGAAAACTGATTGGTCGAAAATGTGGGAAATTCAAAACGATTCCCCCCCTCGGGAACACTATAGACTCTCCGCTTCCATACCGTCTTTAGCGATTCCCCTCATTATTATTACAAGACTTGTTCGTGACTGTTTTCGCCATCAGTATTTGCTCTCTCATAGAGCTATGTGTGGCAGTTTGATCGAACGTCTCCGAGTCATCATTGAGTTTATATCGCAGCCTCAACTTCTTCTGGTCATCTCGCAGCTCCACCCCCTCAAGATAACCCTGATCGCCATACGCCCGATACACAGGGCGCAAAGGATACCTGATGGGGGAATTAATAAGGACATATTGTGCATAGAGCTTTCGAGTTGGAGGTATGGCAAGACTTTGTGAGTTTATTATGTGACACGTTTGATATCGTAGATTATACGAGTCATAGGTATAAAGTCATTTATCATCATCATCAACAGCCTTAAGCACTCAAACAAATAAAAAAAGCCCGCAGAGGGACGGGTGGAAAAATGGTACGTTTACCAAATCCAATTTCAATTCAGTGAAAGTGCATTGCTGGTGATAATCACTCACGAAATTCAGTAGTAATAACAATGCAGCGTCGAGGAATCCACGAAAAGCTCTACAATATCCACCTAAGGGAGCCTAGTTCTTCTACTGTGATGAAGTGTCTCTAGCCCTTTAAATGGTATAATACTACCATGTATTGGGAATACCACGATGGCAATTATGAATTTGAGACTATCGCTAATTTCCAATATTCCATCACATGTTCTTTACGGCAATCACTTCAAAACGGCAAAGTATTTCACAGTTTTAGTGTTTTTTTGTGGAAACAGAATTATACACGTTTGACATGGTAGATTATACGAGTCACAAGTGAAACGTTATTCAACAGCCTTAACCAATCAAACACAGTTTTAGTGTAAGACTGATGGCCAAACAGCCTACTCCTCATTGATACCATAAAAGCTCCCAACTGTTGGTATTATTATTACTGTAATAAGTACATCTCGCCAGTGAAGTCAGGTGGATCCTGCATTCGGTTTAGGAAGACCGGTACCTCGTGGACGACTTCATCATCTTCGGAATCCTCAGACGGGGAAGAAGGACTCATCGTGACATCGTCATTGGGTTGAGGCGGCGCCATTGGAATGAAGGACGAGCTGGAGTGCTTCGAGACTTCGAGGGAAAGTGTTCGAGCACCGATGAAGAGCTGCGGTTTACCCCGTCACTAAAATCAATTAGTGTGGCACGGAATAATCACCGAGTGCCACCTGAATTCACCGATGTCATCTAATGATAATTAGTGCAAGTGCATGTAGAAAGACTGTAAGGGGCGTCTCGCTACGCGCGCGCCGCGCGCCGCGTTACTAACTTCCAGGTTGTGTTGTGAGGTGGTTAGGCTTCACGTTGTGGTTTTGGCTCAAGTTCGATCCAGAGCCAAGTAAACTTTACCGTATGATTTGTGTCTCGGAAGTTGAAGTGTTAGAATCATACTATAAATTATAGTCTATGATAATATTTCTAGTTATATAACTTTATTTCAAGTTTTTTTGCTATCGAACACAACCCAAGTTATGATTCATAACTAAATATCAGTCTAAATACTATTCATAACTCATAAATAGTATTTAGACTAAAATTTAGTCTAAATACTATTCATAACTCGAGTTGTTGAAATTTACTAAAGCATTTAGTCACTAAATGCTTTAGTAAAAGTAGTATCAGTACAACAGAAGTTCTAACCTATATACTGTAGGCTACAATTCCTTAGTTCGGTCAGTTGCTGCCGCATCTAGAGTAAGACTGAGCTGAAGGGCTCTCATAACATAGTCCAATCTACTCGTCAAACAGTAAATCATGGCCTCAGCTAACTTTTGTAACGTTTCTGGAACTTCTCTGCGCGCATCCACTGCTCGAGACTCAACACCATCACCAGAGATAACTGCGGTCGACATAGCGAATGAGAGATAAAAAGATTCGGGCGTAATAAGATTACGAACAGCACGTCTCCATCACCGTAGCGCACGCCCTAGTAATCGACCGAGACAATCAAGAATATTCTTCCACATAATTCGCCCACGCCCTTCAGAGCAAAGAAACACGCACGTAGTCTCCGCCACCTCTGAACGGACGCTATAGAATGGATACCACCGGCCTCATCAGCCAGCCATGAGTGAGCTTCCACCGCGGCGCAACCCGCTAATATGACCGCTTCTCGCTTCTCCAACACCGGGATATATTTCGAAGTGAGGGATACCCTTGACAGCGCATCGGCGATATCATTACTAACCCCAGGCAGATGAGCAAAGGTTACGGTCACCGATGGTGTGCCGCACTTCAGGGCATGGGTAGCTTCAGCCACCACCCCACGTAAACGCAGGATGGCTCGTCGTTCCATGCTCTTGCATGCAGGGACGTTCCAGGGATCGGCTTGGCGCACTGCCACGCGGCTGTCGCCACGAATCTCAACTCTTTTTAGATCGGAGAAGAGTGGAATCTCCTCATCCAGGCGCCTTAGACAAGCCGCTATGACGAATAGCTCCCGACGATTACAATGCCATGACCCCAATGCCATCGACTTGCTCTGCACTCTGGCCTCAGCGCGTACCACTCGGCCCTCCGGGTCACGCCACACAAAGCCATACCCTCCAGCCGACGCGTCTACATCCGCGATAAGATGTTCCAGGCCTTTGAACAACCGCAGGTCGGAGTCTTCGACTCTCTTCGCCTCCACCCAGTATCGCTGAGCCAGGCCGAGATGGACGGACGCTGGCTTTTTCCAGGATCCCTCCGAATCTACCGAGTCCCAGGCCGCCTCCACGCTGGCCAGAACCCTGGCACAATCCGCATGAGCTCGAGCCAGACTTTCATTCACCCCACCAGAAATCTCGACATATCTGCCTGCCAACTTGAATACCTGGCGCTTCGTCAGGCGGTTTATGTCGATCGACAAGTTCTCTTCAACGGCATTCGGACGCACCAGACTCAGAATCCCACGATCTCCATCCCAAATCCAACCGCTACCCAGCCATCTCGTGGGGACAATCGACCCCCATTGGGTACGCTTTTGTTCTGGACAGAGGAATCCAGTTAGCTGCCAGGCTTTCAGTAACAGTAACTCCACTGCCCTGACTGCCGCTTCATCCCCCCAGACGATGAAATCGTCCATCACCACCGTGACCGATACATCGCTGGAATATCCCAGTATAACCCGGGCGGCTTCAACAACTTTCAAGACCACTCGTTGGGAACTCCGAAGAACTAAAGGCCCACACGCCAGGCCGAAAGCCAATCGTCGACAGAGAAATCGGCGATGTGCGACTGCCAACCGGAGAGGTACAACGTGGTTTGATTCCGTAATTGGTTCCACTCCTATACAATAGAATGCCCGAGTCAAGTCGAATTGACGGACGATATCGCCTTTCTTCAGCTTGCTCCTCAAAATTCGAGCCGCTTCTGCCGTAGTGGATTGTTGATTGCTCACTGGTGGACTCGCTCCATTTATTGGCCTAAGATCCGCTACGGGCCTGGTCTTGGTGGTTTTGCAAACAGCTCCTTCCGAAACCACTCCAGCATCTGCTAGGCCCTCAGCCGCCTGCCGGACCGGGAAAATAGTGCCGTAAGGGCACTGCCATTTCCCCGCATCCTGCCGCTGAGTCACCTCCGATTTCTCTGGAAACCACCATCCCTGAGCCTCATATTCTCGACAATGACCATCGAATTCCTCCTTCTCTAGAGGCAGAAGGTTGGCTATCATCTTGCCGCTCGACCATGGCTTGACGCTCCCGCCGTGGTCCCGCAGATTCCACTGCGCCACGAATTGATATCGCTGCCCGTCAGTGAGCATGCCGTCTACGCTTTCGCGTGAGAGTTTAAGGGTATAACCCTCCGCCAGCTGGACCGGCCCTTCCTGGACTACTGCCTCTAGAAGGTCCTTGATGATGGCTTCCTCGTCGAGATCCGTCGAAGTCTTCAGACCCGCCTCTTCCTTCTTCCGGCTGAGGACGCTATCCACTCTGATGTCGAGTACATCCCGCTCTCCGAAATTCGATCGGCCCACCGTATCGTCCATGCACTGCAGAGCTCTGTCCTCCTCGTCGGGCACGAACAACTCTCCTTCTGCCTTATAACAGTCGACTGTAGCACACAGGCGATTCTCTGCCTCCTCTTCTAAGGGCTGGAGGTCATCATGGATGGCGTGGACGGCAACGCGGTCTTCGAAGGCTCTTCTCAGCCTGGCTCTCTCCGCCGGTGAGTCCTGAGCGAACTCGATCGACATGCCCAACAGCCTGAGTGCACGACGGCCGAGAATCAACCCATCTCTCCCGAGTCTCTTTACCACAAGACACGGAAGAAAACAGTCACTGCCATTCAGTGACACTCTTATGATAATCTCCCCATCGGCTTTCTCCTCCTCGCCGTTGGCATATCGAATCACCACCGGAGGCTTTCCCACTCTAACAGCTCTACCCTCTTCTCTCAACTCGTCAGCCACCACCTTTGATATCAGCGTGCATGACGATCCAGTATCGAGGAGAGAGACAAGGTTATGACTGCCACCTTGAAGGGTGACTTGCGGGACCTCGTCCGCGCCCCCTAGAGCAAACGATAAGACGGCCGAGGATGCCGCATGGCAATCAGCTGCAAACGCCGCACTCGTGATTTTCATCGTCTTCTGGGACTCCTCTACTCCTGCCGCCTCGCCACTTTCTTGCCGAGACTGTTCCCTTTTCCCAGCAAACTCCTCCGCTGCCATAACTTCTTTCGTTGCCGTCAACCGTGCAGCTCTATACTTATCGCGATGGGGACACTCCCGTTTCATGTGACCGGACTGATGGCAAAGGAAACATCGTCCTTTGAAAGCACTTTGCCCCGGCTTTCTCGGCTCGGAGCCTGCGGCCGCGGAACCCTTCTCCGCCTGTCCCTCGATGCGAGCTCTGGCATCTCTCTCTTGAATCTTCGGGGGTGGTAACGATACTTGGGACTCCACCGTTTCCGAACACTCTACCACCCGCACTCCTGACCCCGCCGAGGATGACATCCTTTCCATGTCCGTAAGCCACTTGCCCCAGGCGAGGTCGTCGTCACCAACATGCACCAGGTAGCTGAGCTTCTTGACCAAATCTTCTCGCATGCCCACACGGGACACGGACAGCCAATGAGGCGTCTCATGGCAAACTCCAGCTATCTCACACTTGAGCTTATAGTCATTGACGCGGTAAAGATATGCCATAACTCCCTCACCCTTCCGTTGGACCAACTGCTGAGCCTCGCGAAGGAGGGCTTCTCTCTCCTTATCCGCTCCCGAGAGGTTTCTCAAAGACTTCCAAATCGCCTCCACTGCCTCAGAATACGAGGCTCGGCACAGAGGATTGGCTAGCAACTTCCGTCCCCGAGTTTTCGAAATGTTTAACCAGAGGGGAGTATCTACAAACTTCGCGAGCCAGAAAAATTCATGGACTACCGTCCACGCTCGTTGGCTCGAGACCGTCTCGAAGTAAGCTCTGAAATCCGAGAGTGTCTGGGGATGATCGATATCGTCCCCGATTTTGAACATTCCCCCAGGTGGAGGTTTCGTCGCCTCCGCTGCCTTTCGGATTTTTTCCACGGCCTCCTCCGTCAACTCCCGAAGCCTGGGTGGCTCCCGAATTCCCTTCGGTCCCGACTCCTGCTCTTTGACTTCGGTTTCTGGGCTCATCACCGTCGCTCTCGGCCCCGACTCGTACTCTTTGATTTCGGATTCCCGGCTTACCACCGTCGCTCTCTGTATCCCTGCTCCCGGAGGGTCTCCCATACCCCTCCAAGCTCCGGGATACTCCCCTGCCCATCGTCGACTACCCTGACTTCGAGATCGACGATACTCGACTCTCACCGCCAGATACCTCTCTTCGAAACTCTTGGGAAGCATAACCGCAAACGGCGACAGTCTTTCCGCCCACAGATTATCCGATGCCTCGCGTTTCGCGACCCTCCAATGTCGTTGATGATCCTTTGGCTCTACTTCGTCATCCCCCGGATGGTAAGCCAACGTCAACTCCGCCTCAAGAAGCCTCTTCAGCACAGCAACCGACTGCGATGCTTCCTGGGAGGGCGGGTCGTCGCCTTGTTCTGGGGGCTCTATATCCAATACGACGGGGACCTCCTTCACCAGGATACCGCCCACCCATCCCCAGTCATCCGACTCGAACTCTTCTCCTAACTCGCTCTTGACCATGGAGACCAAGTCCGCCAGCCTGGACGCGGGCACGTTCTGCTCTTTCGCTACTTTGCCAACTTCCAGTCCCACCGAGATCGCCAATGTTTGTAACGTTTCTGGAACTTCTCTGCGCGCATCCACTGCTCGAGACTCAACACCATCACCAGAGATAACTGCGGTCGACATAGCGAATGAGAGATAAAAAGATTCGGGCGTAATAAGATTACGAACAGCACGTCTCCATCACCGTAGCGCACGCCCTAGTAATCGACCGAGACAATCAAGAATATTCTTCCACAACTTTTCCCTATTAAGTTCCTTCGCATCAACTAACCCTTCACCACGTAGTGGTAAGCCTTCAACTATACCTTCAATTTCCTTAATGACATCATACGTCGAAGCATACCATAGTAGTCGTTGGGCAACAGTGTGGTCAGCTGTCTGCTTGGTAGTGTAGAGACCATTAATACTATACTGCTAGTGACATGCCACAAGAAGACGTCTTGAGAGTAGCCATCCCCATTAGGATTCCCCAACTGGCAGATAAACGTTCTAGCTGGACGCCCGAGAAGCTCGATCTCATTGTAGTGATTATCAACGTGAGCGAACTCGTCAGTAACCCTCTCTTAAGTGTAAGTATCAGTGGCAGACACTGGGTTGCGGTTGAATGGGAGTAGTGGACTACTTCCGTGTCACGAAGGTTTCCCTCCATCATGTCTACCATGTCGCCTGGTACTACAGAGAGGACCTGTGGCTCATACCGTTATACGTTCCTCAGTAGACCACAGAGAGAGTCAGGCCGGGTAGTAGCGAGTGTTCATGCCCAGAGTGATGAGAACAGAGTGAAGCAATGAGATTTCGTTCTTCTACAATCGATGGTCACCTTGAGACGAGGTGATCAGTCCTAGTATCGTAGACTACGAGTCGTAGTAACCAGTAAGACCCGAGAGAACGGTTCTCTCTCGAGTCTTACTGGTGATGAAGGTTACCTAAGATAACTTACCTTCATCACTCATGCAGCAGAACATAGTACAAGAACCGGCTGTAGAACGCTAGACGACTAAACCTGCCACCGGATAATACAACACAACACTCGGTAATTAACAACGAGCAAGTGAATGAATGAATAGTTAGTAAATGAGCGACTACTCTTGACTCCCCAGACTTGGCTGGGTCGTCTGGCTCACAGCTCTCCATTGTCTCCTGAGTCTTCTGAAGAACTGCCTGAGGCTCTCCGAGTCACGACCCGGAGAAAAGTGTAACTCAGGCCCTGAGTCTCAGGGTCCCTCAGGTATAGCCTCCAACGTTGTCCATATCTTCTGTACCCTTCACAGAATGATAGATATTCTTGATTTGTCCACCTCGAGTAACGAGAGCGGCGACGAGCAGGGCCTTCGAAGAGAGTAGATAAGCTTGCGAGGTTAGCTTGGAAGGGACGATCGGCCTCCTGTACCAAGCTTAAGTTGTTTGCGGCCGAAGTTCTAGGATGAAGGCTTCGACGATGGTCATTTGCGTATCTCTAAATACCTGCATGCACTCCGAGACCGGACACCCGAAACCCGACACCCGAAACCCGAAACCCGAGCCCGAACAACTCAACGCCAACTACTGAGCGCATTACGACACGAACAAAAACAAGACAATACTAGACAATACTTATTCATTCCACCCCGACCTTTACGAAGAAGACTGTTTGACGATGATGACGACACGGGGAAGGCGACGACAATGCACGACCGGCAATGCCACCGTAGTAACTGTCGCAAGAGAACTGAATCCTAATAGGCTTATACTAACTAGTCCTATCATTAGATTCCAATGCGTAGTACGCGTAATAGACCAGCGTTAGGAGCTTGAGCAATAGTCATCGATGGTCCTTATAAAGTGGCTCAAGGACTACAGTAGTAGTAGTCAAATTATTTGACTCAAATCAGACTCAATCACTGAATCTAATGCAGACGAGAAATTGAGAATTATTCTCGTCGAGAATTGTGAGTTCTAACCGAGCCAACTGGAACGGACAGTTCCAAGAACTCTAGTTAGTGGCCGTTTCAAAAATCTAGTCTTTCCGAAAGACTCTTTCGGATCCTGCGCTGTAGCGCACGCCGCGTGCTGCTGGCTCGCGCAGCATTACAGCCAAATAGGTAAACATGAATCGCTTCGCTCCGTCCGAATTTCCCCCTCGGAAAATGAGGATTGATGTAGTTGGACCTATGACTTCCCCTCACGTATCGATATTCGAACCCCTTGTGCTCCCTGCAGCAGATTCAGAGGAGTGGGGTCCTCATCAAATCGGCGGATCGACGTCTGTCAGCGGAATCCCTGGTAGAATCGGGGAGAGTATCTTGAGGTTGAGCGGGGAAGATACAGAATGGGTCTACATCAGGTGATCTCATCTCGCTGGTCGATGGCTATCGCAATGTCCGAGTATGCGATTTCTCTCAACAAGGAAAGCGTATCCGGGACATGCAAGCCGCCCAAGGCTACAATCGGGGTCGAGTTAGTGCCACTGCAAGCGAAGAGGAGAAGGACAAGGGCTTTCAGCTGGTGGACACCTCATCAGCCCCACGGAAGCACCATGTCAATAAGTAATCTCCTCCTCTTCCTCGTCGTCATCGCCCTCCGACTTGACGACCGTTTTTACCCAATAGGTACAGTCAGCCTCGGTGGCAGGATCACCGCAATAATCGTTACCAACAGCAACACCAGCGTGATGGGGGCCGCTATCAGCAGAAGGGCGGCAAGTCTGGTGGTGGTCGGCAGCAGAGTGCCTATCAACAGGGTTGGGGTCGAGGACAAGGCGTCGCTCGTGGTATCAAGGACTGGAGCGTCGCTCCTAACCCGGACTGGCAGGTCCGCTGGAGCAACTAGTGGGGTCTAATGGAATGAATATATTTCAGCTCGTCCGCGAGTTACCCTTCACGCTTCTGGCCAAGGCTCATGTTGACCCTAAGAACGTCGCCTATGAGGATCTTGTATGGTGTGGCACTGGTCTTAAGGCCTATGAAAAGACCTACGACAGGGTCTCACCTAAACGTACTCGTACAGGACCATTTGAGTAGTTTATTTGTTCTGTTTAGTCCCCAAGTCCTTGAAGCAGTACCCTGATATTGCTTTCTATAACGTCACTACTGGACAGGACCCAGTGATTGAGCAGTTGCTGACGAACCAGCCCGTTGCTAAGGGTCAAAACGTTACTGTCGCTTGTACTGATAGTGTAATGAGTCCTCCAAGGAGGAACCTAAGATGCTCATTGGACAATTCAGGTTCTCTCGGTGCTGATGGCCGCTAATCGATCAGTGTATTCTTGGGATCTTGTTATCACTAGACTTGATAACACCATCCTCATCGATACTCGGGAGGGCTCTAACTTGGACATGCTCACCGTCAATGAGACCAGTAAGCTCTACTGGTGTGTCGGAATTGGACATGTTTCGTATCTTTAGGTAGTGAACCTCCGGCGACGCATCCTGGTGAAGGCGAGGGCGCCAACACGGAGATCTTCAATACTGTTTACAAGGTTGGCGAGGAGGCCACCTGCATCAACCAGAACCTTACCGTCCAGGCAGGCAACATCACTGAGGGGACCATACAGATGAGTTTCTGCATTTTTTCAGGTCTTGTCGTCTACCCTTCCCGAGAAGGACAATGAATATCCGAACCCCTTTGACCAGAGGGAAGAAGAGGATGATGACGAGGATGAGGAGAATGAGGACAACAACGAGGGAGAAGTTCTCCCGCCCAGCAACGTTGCTTACAGGTGAAAGACTTTCTGAGGAGGAGTTTATGTCATTTGCTAGTGTGTTTCAGGTATCGTAAGGTGGACCTACCTCGTGTCCCAGAGGAAAGCAAGAGCCGTAACATTTCCATGATCGTTCGTACTGAAGTGGACGCCTATGTTCCTCAAGGGGAAGGACAGGAGGCTGTCTACGCCAAGATACGTGCGCTCAACGAGTAGGTTGTTAAGGTGTCGGACAGTTGGGCATGGAATCAGGGAATCATCCACAAACCTATAATGTTCCCGAGGGAAACTCATTTTGAATTTCCCACATGGCTAGGGGCACATTCTTCAATCAGTTTCCCATGTAAATGTCATCACATTAGGAACATTAATATCAAACTCTGGAGAGCGTTAGTTCTCGAAGCGGAATGAATCCTTTTCAGAATACCATCAACTCAGCAACAGAAACAGCCGTGGAGGTCATCATTGGAGTCTCAGAAGGGCGCGGTTCTCGCTACTGAGGTGAACTATTTGCTACTCCTCGCTACTTAGGGTATATTCCAGGTGCATAATAACGCCTTCAAGCTGGGCCGTTGGGTTGCCAGTGCTCTTCTTGCTGGCACCAGTGTCTTCAAGCTGGGCTATGTCACTCGTGCTCGCATGAACGACCCTTTCCATCACTCTCTTCTCAGTGTGCAGACCTACAAGACGGAGGACTTCGCCAAACAAATTGGGTGAGCAGCAGTCACTGCTAGGGGGAAGGGGGCCTGGTTGAGGTGTATCGTTTTAGGATGAATACGTCGAATGCCTTTGGTATTGTCCAGGCTGTTGTGGACTTGGTGATGCAATACAAGGCGCCTGGTGCTGAGGAAGAAGAGGAGGAGGAGGACGGCGCTTCCTTCGCTGGAAAGTTCTTGCTCCTCAAGGAGCCATCAAAGAGCATGATCAGGCTCTATGCGGTAGTGATTATTATCAATACTCCTATATATGAACCACGCGTGTACTGTGGAATATACAGCCAAATCACTAGTGTGGGGGATTACGCCGTATATGAGTTCGATATGATGTGACCTTAAGCTAAGCACAGCTACGACGATTGCTGTGATGCTAGTATGCATCCATTTCTTGTCATTGTGTGTAGTGGACCTCTTGATATTCACTAGTGCTTTGTATTACGAGTAACGCGCAGGTACCGTGGGAAGAGTTCGAGGAGTCGGACGAAGAGGAGATGTCCGAGTCTGATGATGAAGAGGAGGAGGAGTAGCTTTGAGAGGAGTCCGATACAATTGGTGTGGTGCTCGACGTTGTCCAATAGTTTCTACGTGAGGGCTCCATTGTCGAGGCTCGTTTTGTTAAAGTTCACTATCGAGAACACCATCTAGTTCTGGTCTATAATATGGACTCTATATGACCAACCGTCTCCTCCTCGTCGCTGTTCTCGTACTGCTGGCAGCGGTTTTCTATCAGTCGGTTTTTCCCGCTAACCTCTAGAAGTGCTGATATGACAGGAGTGGCTCATATGGTAGCTTCCAAGCTGAAGAAGGGAGCCTCTGAAGAGGCTATGCAGAGGCTCGGGGACTCGCGCAAGACCACCCTTGGAGGTTTACCTATTAGGTAAGTGTTCCCCTCAGGGGGGCCTCGCAGACTCCGTGAACGGGGATCCTCCGTTCAGCCCCTTAGTGCACGAGTTTCACGTATCTCAGGTCATAAAGCGCTGTGGACGATAGTATAGTATAGTATACTGAGTATACTCACCACACGAAATACTTGAGCAAACTACAAGCACCAATAAAACATGTTGAAGTAGATAACCAGAACACCTGACTGCCGCTTGGTGGAGAGTTGACGCCAGCGGGGACTGCCGCACTGATGGTGTTGTCACCGGCAGCTGGGTTAGCAGTAGAGGGAGCATGGTAGGTACTGGAAGAAACAAGCAATTGCCGAGGTGCAGCCTTCAGAGAGCTATTCCTTAAGGCCATGGCCTCGTATTTAACCATGCATATTGCTTGTTGAAGTTGATCATAGGAGTGAAGCACTGGTGGCCATGCACCAGACAGCGTCATCATTGCCGTGTTCCGCCACTGGTTGAAGGGAGCGATCAAGTTACCACGGATGGCATTGGCAATATGAGACGGATGCAACCTGAGGCAGGGCCTGCAGTTGATGCCCCCGTCGTCCGAAGCCGTGAAGCACACCAGGTCGTGGAGTTATAGATATACTCCCCCAGTAAAAATTGGTATTTTGAGGAGCAATTTTAACACGTGTATGCTAAGAATATGTGGAGAAAACTTTTTACCAATCTTCGACTTCTCACTAACTACGAAGAGTTAGGCCCTGAAACTTGGAGGTCATATCAGGTAAAGCATAAGTACATACCTCCCTGAGCCGCAAGATGATACTCATTGTGGTGGCTGTGCACAAGTCGAAAAACCGGATATGCTATGAATATGTGGAGGGGTGTACCGCTTCTGCCTTCAGTGAACACGGACTGAACATGCGTTCGTAATTTCGTGGCGCAGTGACGAAATTAGTAGTTGGTGTCTGCGTATCACACGATACTCGTGGCTGTCACGAATGTCTCCCCAGTGCGACGATCTTCCAGGTTAGAACATGATTCAACAGCGAGTCGCTCTTCACACTCTCTGTGGGCCACATCGATAGTAGCATTTGAGCTGCTGCCCGTCACTAAGCTGGGCATCATCTGATACAGAACCCTTTGACAACATGTCATCCCGTGGAATGATCGTTGTCAGTGGATCTGTTGTATCAGATGATGCCTAAGATAGGGTCATTCAAGTTCGTGGACATCACTTCGAAAAAAAATTCACTCAAGTGCTGGTCTCCTTGTGCTGAGTACGTCGACCGTATAAACAACCCAACTTGCCCTCAGCTGTTGGTTTGTCGCCTGACCGAAACGGCCGAGAGAGAGATTAGTTCGTGGAATGGCAGTTGGTATTCATCGCAGATATTATTTTCTATTCGCATTTCTAAGGCCTCCAATGTCCTCTCCCGTCGTAGCTGAAGCATCTTACCCTCAAATACGAGCGCTTTCTCTCAACCAGAGATTGGTGTCAAATTGTGAGCTGGAAGCAGCGGTCAAGGCATGCGACAAACTGCACGGCTCTATTCCCATTGACGAGCCTTTGCCGCTGAAGGACAAGTGGGTGCTGTGGGAGCAGCTCACTCTTCATAAGGTAATGATAGGCGTATCTTGCCCTCCCCCTCTGCAAGATACAAAGTATGTCCGATCGCATACCATATTTCAGAACGCCGCTACACCTGAGCCCAAGTCCGAGGACGCCGAGGGTGATGGTGATGCTTCCAAGCAGCAGCAGCAAGTCGACCTCACGGAAGTGGCAGTAGCAGCTGCTCGTGGAATATCGAACTTTGGCGAGCTCACCAATCGAGTTGCTGAGATCTCAACTGTGCAAGACTTTTGGAAGTACTACAATTTCCTCCCACAGCCAAGCGCTGTTATCGGAGACAACCTCAGAATCGTCAGGTAAGCAGGCTCTATTTTCTTCTCCTTCTGAACTTCTCCTAGATATGACATGTTGGAGAACGGCGAGATGTCCAAGACGCCGACTCACTCTCTAGGGGCTCTCATGCTCTTCCTGGACGGTGTCAAGCCCGAATGGGAGGATCCGGCCAACGCCAAGGGGGGCCACTTCCAGTTCACGATGCAAGCAGCTGCTTTCAAGTCCAAGGCGTCCTTCGACTTCGAAGCTTCCAACCCTGTCACACAGGTCAATGCTGGCCTAGCACTTATGGACGAAATCTGGAATAACCTTGTAGGATATGATGGAGAGTTCAATAATTGTCTTTATGTTTTGTCCACAGGTCCTCGCTGTCGTAGGCAACACTCTGGAGCCAAAGGATTTCGTCACGGGCCTGAGGCTAGTTGATAAGGTTAAGCGTGGTAATGTCCGAGGGGGCTCTTCTCGAAGTAACGCTAGCGGCCATCTACGAGCAGAGGTAAGTGAGTAGTAAAGATGGAGCTATTACTATCACTCAGGTGTGGTTTCGTGATATTGATAAGGATAAGGTGAGAAGACTTCGAGAGTCTATGGAGATGGTTATGCGACAACGGCTGGATCAGAATGCAGTCGTGGACTTCTCGTCAGATGGTAGTTCCGGGTGCTTACTGGGCTCGTCGTTTTCCTGGGAATCAAATTCGTGGAGTGTTGTTGTCTTCTTCTCGGGTACAGCTCCTCCTATTTTCCCTGGATACCGTTTGGACTTGCGTCCTCATGATGACACCGCGATGCAACAGAACGTCCAGGTGAGCCTCTGGTGGTTTGCAAGAAGATTTCCACGATGTTTACATAGGATTCCATCAACACGAGGAAACAGTACAAGAGGACGAAGACTCGGAAGCAAATTATGAATTCAGCGAGATCTCGTGGCGAGTTTAACTAAGAGCAGCTCGAACGTAATATTACTGAGCTTTCATGGGATGCCAACTCCTCGGAGAGCCGTTGGCTGGACACACGTGTTTCGGTCGGCGATGCGATACTTTAGTAGACTTAACTTTATAATGGTTATATATCAGTATTATCATTTTTTCAATTAATAGCCTTAGATTTATATTATACATGATATGAAGATATTATAACGATTACTCAATATTAAGATAGAACATCAATCTCTGACACGTGCACGCTTGTTGTCACTAAAAATGTCAGAGCGAGTCGGGCATCGCATTTAAAACTTGCGGGAAAATTCACTCACTATTTGGGGAAGCGCCTAAAAAGTGTTCGATCCCTTGGATATAGTGTATTGTCTTTCAGGTCCAATCCTGTTGGAGAAGCTGCGGGTCTATCATCTGAGAGCCCTCGTGATTGGATGTCGTTTATTCGTAGAGCATCAGCAGTAGTTGTGATCAGAAGCGTAGCTTATATGTCGTCCTTCTCTCACAGGATGTGATCATCGGGTTTCACTGGAAGCTACTGTTGTCTTGTGTTGCCGATCATTGGTAGACTCTGGACACGCATCTGCTAGCAGTT